ACTTGAGCTCAGCTTGATTAAAACTTCATGCCTTGCTTGAGAATTAGTGCCTGTTGTTGGCCAGAGCAAGTTGAAAATCTTTAAATGGAAAAACTAGATGAGCTGATTTTTAGTCTTTTTTTTTTTTTTTTTTTTTTGAGCTTTTAATGCCACTGTCATGACTACTTTTTAGGTTGATACAGGGCTTAAATCTCGCTTGAGTTTAACATATTGCAGCTGAGCACTGGATTTTAGATTAATGCCCGTGTCCCTGTTGATGTTCCTTTACCTTGAAAAGTTATATATTGTTATTATTATTGATTTTTATTGTCCTTCTGTACTAGGCCTGTAAATTCTTCGGAGGAAATGGATGCAAAAAATAGTTCTTCCAAAACAATTTGCTGCCTTCTCTGCCTAAAAACTCACTTGAGAAACCTGAAATGGCTTTTAACACGACTGAGAGCGAGAGCTGAGAGCGTTGGATTGCCAATCACAGCTCAAAACCCCCTCTTTTAATGCAGCTTTTAAGCTTCCTGGCTTTTTGAAGAGGCTTTCTTGGGAGGGGGCAGCTGCCACTTGTGAAGAGGAAGAGATGCTATTTCGTGATTCCAGAAGATGGGGCTTGGATTTTCGGCTGAGGGAACGGGCACTGCTGTGAGAGCAGGTGCTGTAAATGAGAGGAGAGTTTTTTTCCAGACTTGGAAGGGGGCACTGCCTTGGAAGCTGAGGGTAAAAATCAGGTGTTTGCAGAAAAACCGCTTTGAGTCCGTGGCTCCTGCCTGTGGATGTCGATTAAAACACCGCCACGGGCTTTGTCACCTCTGGCACACAGTGAGAGGATGGGCAAGAAGAAGTCTCTTCACCTGGGGTTTGAGATGATGTTTTTAGTGATATTGCTGCTTTTCTCCCAGAAAATTGAGCCTGATTAAGATTTTTTTTTTTTTTGGGGGGGGGGGGAGGAGAAATCTGCAGCTCCCACGGAGCAATTAAGCTTGTCTAGGGAACGTTATCTGATGTGGCTGAAGCTGAGCTTCCTGCAGACTCCCACTCTGCTGCTTCTCATTACCCCAGGTTGCAGCTGCCAGGTGCCACTAGAGCTGCTGGGGGAGAGGTGATGCCACCTCTGCTGCAGCTCAAG